AAATAACTGCCTTATTGCACATATTGAGTACCTCTGAATAGTTTCGAAAAAATACTTAAGGAACATTCAACATGAATATAATAACTTAAGGAAAAAAAGAAACTTAATTTTTCTAGACTAAATAAATTAAACCAGTAATAAAAATGTGTTGCCACAGTGTACCTTATGTGACATAGGTTTAATCGCAATATAAAAAGTATTATAGACCTACCAAGGATGTCGTTATCGGATACTTAACTGCAGTTCAATACAAGACATCTTTTCAAAAATACAATTGTGGTAGAAATTTGTTAACGGTGATGTGTACGCTCTAATATTTTCAAATAAATAACAAGAAGTTATTATTCATTAACAACTACGGCAGTTAAGGAAGTTTGAACAAGGTCACTATTAAATCATGCATAAATTGGTCTGGAGAGATCTAGTTTACGTGTACTCAAAATTTATAATTATGTCTATTATGTCGTCTGGTGGATTAAATTTACATCTAACAGGATTCTGTACACATGTTAAAAAACTTTTAATGAAAGACACTGAAGTTTTAGAGAACCATTTTCATTATTAAAATAATCAAAATTTTTACAAATTAGCAAATTATTTTAGAACCTCAAAAACTGCTTTCTTGCTCTACAAATCTTTTCTAATACAATTAAAAGCAACTTCAAATAAATTATGTCTAGGAATATGAGGATTAGAGGTAAGATTGACCATTCGAGCATCGACTCCGGTACAAACAGTTGTTCTGATTCAACTAGAGGTTTTGACATAGAGTAAGACAACATTGTTAATTGGTGACAAATTTCCCTTTACATATTTTTAACTTATTGCCAATCTTATTGTGTCTCGTCTTTCCGAGGCCTTTTGTGAGCTTCTTTTGGCTTATTTTCCTTCTTTGGTACTCTGCACACCAAAATTTACCTCATTTGAAATATGAGGAAACATATTTGAAGAATAGAGCATGTAAGTGTTGATTATATTGAAATATCCTGTTCAAAAATACGCTATAGTAATATTGTGTCTATTTGCAACTCTAGTATAGCGTATAATTTAGAAATCAATAAAGAAAAGAGGAAAATTAGAAAAGGATATATCTACACATTATATTAAGCGAAAATAATAAACTGAAGATTTGTAGCCGTAAGTAAAAATCCGCATTGGTTGCAGTTAATAAGATGAATTATCAGTAGAAGATTACAAATCGTAATGGTTATCAATGTGCAAATACGAGGCTCTTTTTCGCCATCCTTATATATATATTATATATAATATATATATATATATATATATATATATATATATATATATATATATCTATAGGCTTACTAAGGTAAGTTGTCTGGCTTTATGATTTTAAACATAGCATATTCTTTTTTCTTGTTGTAGTTCCTTTTCCTATTGGAGGTTGGCTATCATCACAGCTATCCATACCTTATTGGCGGCTGCTCTGAAAAGATCTACTAAGCTAGAACTATACCACTCTCTTAGGATTCTTAGCCAGGAAATTCTTCATCTTCCTATGGATCTTTAACCCTTCATTTTACCTTGCATTATGAGCCTTATTATCTCATATTTCGCACCTCTGTTAATGTGGCCTAAATGTTCCAACTTTCTTGTTTTGATGTGCTCTATGACCTCGCAATCCTTTTGTAGCCTTCTTAACACATCTGCATTTGAGTCCATGGTATTTTCAAAATTCTTCTATACCACCACATCTCAAATGTTTTCAGCTTCTTTATATTATCCACTTTTAGTGTCCAACTTTCCATTCCATACAACAAAGCAAAGTCGAGAACACATAGTATCTTAAGGTTCTTATCCTCGGCTGTCTAGCTTATTTTCCCCGATATCTAGCCTTCTTACTCTATGTTGCTTAAAAATAATCATGCACTTGGTTTTCTTAACGTATATTTTGTTGTCCATATTTTATACTGACTTGATGTAATGTATTTACTAAGCGTTGCAGTGCTTCTAGACCGTCTGCAAAAACAGTATGCTTCTAGACCGTCTGCGAATCTTATGTTGTTCAAGATTTTTCCGTTTACTGATATACCCTGTTGTTCCTCTGATATTGCTTCCTTAAAAGTAGCTTCGCTGTACAGATTGAATAATAATGGGGACACCACGCAATCCTGTCTAACATTTTTCGACATTTTCGATTCTAACCTTTGCTTTTTGATTCCAGTACAGATTGACAATAACCCGTATATCTCGACTATCCAAATTCTTTTCTTTTAACAGTTTTACGAGTTTCTGATGCCGTACTCTATCAAAAGCCTTTTAATAATCTATAAAGCAGACATAGAGATCCTGGTTCATATCTAGTCGTCTTTGCGCGAGAAATTTAAAAGCGAACAGAACCTCTCTCGTTCTTAGTCCTCCTCTAAATCCAAATTGGGTGTTATCTATATCTTCTTCTATTTTTTGTTTAGTCTTCCATGTATTATTTCGAGAAATATCTTAAGTGTGTGGCTTATTGAGGAAATTGTTCTGTACTGGGAGCATTCTGTCGCATGTACTGACTTTGGTAGTGTTATAAACGTGGACAGCAACCAATTTTCTGATATTATTCCTGTTATATACTTCTTCGTCAATGCATTTAATTAGCTCAGTGGGTATCTGATCTGGGCCTACTGATTTTCCGGTCTTTGCATTTCTAATTGCCATAATTATTCCAATTCTATTCTAAAATTCTAATCATATGGCATCAACTTTAATGGCAACAAGCTAAACCACCTCAAATATCGTGATTATAGCGAGCACATTCCAGGAATTACAAATTATGATGGAGAAACTTGCAGACAACTCCCAGTACAACGGCCTAAAGATGAACATGACAAAAACAAAAACAATGACAAACGTAGAAGACCGCAGCAGTATAACATAAATGGCAGTAGGAAAAAACAAGTCTAGGAATATATATACCTAGAACAAATTCTGAAACCTGACAAAGAGAACTAAAGTGCGAAAATCACTAGAAGAGCAAAACTGACATGGCAGGATTTGGTACACTCAGTTGGATACTTAAGACCCGCAAAATACCTCAATACTTAAAGACTTTAAGTGCTTTACCAGTGCATCCTTCCTATCATGACATATAGATGTCAAACCTGGACCCTAACCAAGGCTAATACAAATAAACCAGTCACAACAGAAAAGGAAATGGAAAAAGCAATGTTAGGTATATGACTGTCAGATAAAAAGGGGAACGGGTAAGATCAAAAATAAAAGTCGAGGATATCACAGTATACGTTGCCAAACTCAAATGAAACTTCGCAAGACACATTGCTAGACAAAAATACCAACGTTGAAATGCCACAATACAACATTGGAGACCTTACAAAGATAGACGACTAAGAGGAAGGCCACAGATAAGATTGTAGATGACATAAAAAGTATAGCCCGAACAAATTGTAGAATGTTGCTCAAGATAGAAATCAATGGAAGGAGTTGTGAGAGGCATATCTCCAAAAATGGACGATAGAAGTCTAAGCTGAAGAAGAAGAATCAGCTTTATATAAATGTGACTTGGCCATTCAAGTCAATAAAAGAGGTGGCTTAAGGATCGTCACTCCCGAATGTAGCACTGATTTGCTGTACATTGATATAAATTAGAATAAAGTCGATCTTACAACCTTATAGGAAATGTCAAGGCACTCAAGAAACTAAATAACAACAATGCGCCAGGAACTGATGAATTTTTTGAAGGAAGGAAAGAAGTCATGTTAATCATTATACTGCCTCAGAATTTCTGTTGAATTGATAATGTTGTTAAAAATAACAATGCCAAACATCAGATGTAAAGTAAAAAATTCGAAATAGCTATTCTGAATAAATTAACACTAATAAAGAAGTGAAACAGAAGTATATGGCGGTGTGACTCCTTTGAGCTAGAGTAATTTATAAGAGATGCGGACTGAACACGGAACAGCCGAGGTAAAATATTTAATAAATAGGTATTTCGAGACATTGTAACTCCAAAGAGATATTTGCTACACTCTCAAATGCTGCAGATAATATGGGTCTAATTTTCAAGGAAAAAACAAAACTCATTGCCTCAGACAACAGAATCAGAAACAGGAGACAAAACTTTAACGTTGGTAGCAGTATTGTTGAAGTGGTTACCTAGGAAGCATGGTAAACCAGACAAATGTATAGTATTATCGGTAAAGATGAACTGAAGAATAACGTTCGCAAAAAGAAATTATTATGGACCTATAAAACATCTTGGAAGCCATTATCTAACAAGAAAAACAAATTTGATGGTATACAGAACCTTAATACTCCAAGTCTAATTCATGGATTTGAGCCATAGGTGCTTTCTAACACTGACTAGTAATATTCGAGAGAAAATTATTCAGAAAAATATTAATCCCAATAAGTGATAATGAAACTTGGTCTCGACGATATAATTTCGAGGTTGATATGGATGGATGGTGTTGACGAGAATGGCAGAAATATCGATGTGCAAACTGACACAAGCTGCAAATGGAGAAATAGACTTGGGTAGGTCGAGGGTCAACTAATACATTAAGATGATGATGATGATAATAACAGTATAATTTTGATGTCATTTTGGAAATAAACTTTTTTAGAATGAAAAGAGTAATAATAAGCATAGAATCGTAAACTCATTAGGATAAAATTACACCCATATAAATTCAAATTGTTTAGGATAAACAGTAAATAGTTAAAAAAGGAAGTAATACCTCAGTTTAAAGAGTCATGGCTGACTAGATAGATACATTGATATTTTATAGAAGGACTTTGTCGAACTCCCAAATATTTTCTAGTTTACTTGTACATAACCAATAATGGGATTATTGCATTTGCAAAAATATGCGCATATAATAGTTTACAATAGACCAAAATGACTAAAATTGGAGAATTAAGAAATAAAAAAAAACAAAATTACTAAAAATTGTTAGATTTATTAGTTTCTTTTCAAATTCTGTTAAATTTACAATAATTACACTAAATTATCAGTCACAACATGAAAAAAATCACTGTTCGCTATTAGATACTTTAACTTGACTGGCTTCAGAGCTTGCATCTGACATTTTTTCTTGTTTTTCAACAGTTTCGAGTTTCTTTTGATCAGATTTTTCTTCACGTCCTTCGTTACTTTCAATTTTTACTGCATTTCCTTCAAGTTTACGAAATTGTGGATGTTCTAGTAGACTTTTAGCTATCACAGGACTGGTAACAACTTGTGTAATCGGGGCGGAGTAAGCAGTGAATCCGGGATAATACAGTGAGTTGTAGCCATATACATTGTTGATTCCGTAGGAATACGAAAAGGAAGATGAAGGAGCGGCTCTTAGGGCAAAAGTTGGTGATACGAATGATTTTATCGCTACTCCGGGTGTGGCATATACTGAAGATCTAAAAAAACTACATTATTAAATCTTTGAAATATAAACAAGTGGAATATGAGAATAAAAGAAGAAATTGAGAATAACAGTAATAAATATCACATAATTTTTAAAATAAAAAAAATTTAACAAATTTTTGAAGAAAATGAAACAGAAAAAGGATGAAAAACATGGAAAAAGAAGTGAGACTAACAAAATATTTATAGCGATGGTACAAGAAGCTCAGAAAACTAGAATTGCATCAAAACTATAAGATAAAAAAGAAAGACAAATGTAATAACACCTATGAATAAAACACAATTATTAAAATAATTATTAAAACATAACCCACAAGTATTACGGGAATTACTGGCGTATGTCTTCACCTTATTCTATAATGGACACGACTTACCACCGGAGTGGACAAAAGCACATATTAACTATAGGGGGCTAAGTGTCATAAATTCACTCTCAAGACTGTATGGAAAAATAATAAAAAATAAAATTGAAAAAGAGATGACAGATGTAGAAGAACAGAATGGCTTTTGTGCAGGTAGATCCTGCATGGACAGTATATTCTCTCTAAAGCAAGTTATCGAGAAAAGATTAGCCCACAACCTTTCAACTCATATAGTCTTTATAGATCTGACAAAGGCATACGATAGTGTACCACTTTCAATGCTTTGGGTAGCAATGGAAAAACAAGGAATAAGCAAAAAAAATATACAAGCAGTACAACAGCTCTACAAAAATATGACGGCAAACATTAAGACTGGAAACAGATTAACTAGAGAAATTCCTATTAGTAAGGGCCTAAAGCAAGGCTGTTGCATAGCACCTACACTCTTCAAAATATATCTAAATGAGGCACTCTCACTGTGGAGAAGAAAGTGCTGCAATATGGGCATTCCAATCGGAGATGATAGATTGTACACGATACATTTCGCTGACGACCAAGCCATTCTAGCTGAAGACGAGAGTGATATAAGCTACATGCTTAGAAAACTGGAAGATGAGTACACCAAATGGGGCCTCACAATTAATTTCCAAAAAACTGAGTACTTAGTTGTAGGAGAAAAACCAGAAAGCCTACAAATCGAAATGGGAACTATAAAACCGACAGACAATTTTAACTACTTGGGAGTCCAAATAACATCAAAAGCAGGAAGTAGCGAAGAAATACATTCCAGGATTGGCCAAGCAAGATCAGCCACCAGACAGCTACACGGACTATTACGTAATAAAAAAATAACAAAAGAAAATAAAAGAAGAATTTATAAAACAATAATAGAAAGTATTGGACTGTATGGCGCCGAACTCTGGGAAATAAACCAAAGAAACAAATCAAAAATTAAGGCCATGGAAATGAACTACTGGAGACGATGTTGCCAGCTCACTAGACTTGATAGGGTGAGAAACGAAGATATTCGAAGAGAAATGGAAATCGATCTAGACGTAATAGACACAATCGAAGAAAAAAGACTTAACTGGTATGGACACCTTCAGAGAATGCCGGAAAATAGATGGCCAAAAAAAAAATAGAAGAATGGACTCCGCCAACTAGAAGAAAACGAGTAGACCAAGACGATCCTGGAAGACGATGTCGACGATGCAATGATCGCCAGAGATCTAACAACTGAAGATTGCTTCGACAGAAAACGCTGGAAATTAGGATGCGAGAAGCGGCGCCAACTGTAGAAGACTCGCTTGTTATATATATATATATATATATATATATATAATATATATATATATATATATATATACATATATGTATGTATGTATGTATAAAAGATTAGAAAAAGATATATATAATTATCAACTATGAAGTGCTGGAGGTCTGGAAGACCGTGCCTAAAATATGAGGATAAAGAAAAGTATGAGTTACACCAGATTACAACCTATAATTATAATAATACGGACGATCGAGGGCAGGAAAGATCCTGAAATAAGAATCTCCTCGGAATGGATAGGACACGCCAAGATAAAGAACAAGAGGAACTAAGAGATACTTGTGTTCAGCAGCAGATGTAGCAAAATGATAGTGATTTAATAATACAACTTTTTAAATCACACCAATACATTACTGTAATTTATAATTGTTAAAATATATTTTAAATTTGTTAAGTGCCTACGTACTTACCCATAAGCTAAGAGCGGAATGGGAGAAACTGGAATTGATGATGTTATTGCAAGTGGTTGTCCTTCAGATTTTAGAGCAACGTCGGTTTTAATAGCAGGTACTTCTACCGAGTTTCTATCTTCAGCTTTAATTTCATCTTGGCCAGCACGGCTCTAAAATACAATTGTTTTAAGGTTTAATGAAATATGTTGATTACGTCTTTATAAAATGTAGAAGATATCATAGATAGAGGTATTCATCCGCCAATAAACTAGCAGAATTGCTTATAAAGGCAAAGAAGAAGAAGAAGAAGAAGAAGGTCTAAATTTTAAAAAACATTTTCCGTGTGTTTTTGACAATTATTTATGTCCAAGATTGATATCATATGTTGCCAACATTTTTGACATTTGTTCAGAGAATCCATTAATGTATAGTAAGGATATAATAGTGTTTTTTTGATTTAGTGACATTACTATTATTATTAATAGGTATGGTTTGTGTTAGGTAGTGTGCCGACTATACTATAGAGGATGATAAATAAAAGTGGTAGTAAGGCTTTTAATTCAATATATAACACCGGAGTGATTCCCACAGATTAGCTCAAATCCATCTTTATCACAATACCTAAAAACACAATGTGAGAAAATGCTCAGAATATCGATTAATTGCCCTAATGAGCCACACTCTTAAATTTTTTCTAAGAATTCTTCACAACAGAATTAGACGCAAATTCGTAGTATTGTTCTGAAGCTATTTTCTTGTGGCATTGTAAATTAATTACTATTTTACTGGGAATAATCCACAATTAAAGATTGAAATACGTTTATTGACGTTTCAATTTCCACTTCGGAAATCGTTCTCAAAATACAAACAGTAAATTAAACAAAATTTGTTTTTTGTTACATAGTGAAAAATTCTTCTAATAATTTAATTTTATCTGACTCATTTATATTAACAATTCGGACATACATTATGCATTTTAAAGTAGACGACTTTAAAATGATATTGCCAATATTGTTGAGTTGCGCTCCTGGGACGACTTTACTTATAAGATAGTTCATTCGATTACATGAAATCAACTTTAACTTGAGAATATCCGTCAGAAAAAAATCATAGCATGTAATTCGTCTTTAAAAATTCTCCTGTTAGTGATTCCATAGTAAATTATGAGGGAAAACCAGGAAAAAAAAACCTCATAATACTATCCCGACATTGTTAGTATTTGTTCGTGAATTTAGTTTACCTTCAACAAACATCAAAATTCTGATTTTATATGTTACGTTATTTAAAAAACATAAATGATGTATCCTCTATATGTTACTGACTTACTAATACTGGTATTTTCTTATTAATAACTTCCTCTTTCAATACTGGTAACCAGATCCTTCTACATTCTGCCGAGGAATTTGCGACACAATTGGTCTCATTTAGCATAATTAGAGTAAAACCATTCCTGGTTTTCCCTCATAATTTACTATGGAATCACTAAAAGGAGAATTTTACTGTCATCATGTCATGTGTTTGTCTTTTTTAAAGACGAATTACATGCTATGATTTTTTTCTGACGGATATTCTCAAGTTAAAGTTGATTTCATGTAATCGAATGAACTATCTTATAAGTAAAGTCGTCCCAGGAGCGCAACTCAACAATATTGGCAATATCATTTTAAAGTCGTCTACTTTAAAATGCATAATGTATGTCCGAATTGTCAATATAAATGAGTCAGATAAAATTAAATTATTAGAAGAATTTTTCACTATGTAACAAAAAACAAAATTTGTTTAATTTACTGTTTGTATTTTGAGAACGATTTCCGAAGTGGAAATTAAAACGTCAATAAACGTATTTTTATCTTTAATTGTGGCTTATTCCCAGTTTAATAGTAAGCAAATTCGTAGATCTCGAAAATACCCAATTTGGTTTTAGAAATGCTATGGGAACCAGCGAAGCACTTTTTGCGCTTAACATCCCATTACAAAAATACCGTGACCAAAGAAAAACTGTATTTGCATGTTTCGTGGACTTCAAAAAGGCATCCGATAAAGTACAGTAGGTAAAATTAATGTAAATACTGAATAATATCGGAATAGATTACAAGGATATTCGTGTCATTTAAAGTTTGTACCGGAATCAAACTGCTATCGCAAAAATTGAAGATAACTACACCGATTAAATCTCCATACAACGAGGAGTCAGACAAGGTTACATTTTATCACCAACATTATTCAATGTTTACTTGGACCAGTTATTTAACAAGGCACTTGAGAGACAATCATATAGAATAAAAATCAACGGAAAACTACTTAATGTGATTAGAAATGCAGACGATACAGTAATTCTGTCAGATAATATTGAAGGTCTCCAAATTCTGCTTAATCGTATTAACGAGATAGGAGAGGAAATGTGCATAAAATAAACTCAAACAAAAACAACCTTTTAGTGTTTAGTCCAAGTTGAGAAAGTTCACAAAATGACATATTTAGGAACTGTGATAACGGACCAACTAGATCCAGACAGAAATAAAACCTAGAACAGCAATAACTAACAATACTTTTATGAAAATGAAGTCATTTCTTTGCAACAATCATCACAGTTAAGAACTAAGACAAAGAATGGTTAAGTGTTATGATTGGTCCGTACTTTTGTATGGTACAGAAGTGTGAACGCTAAAAGTATCGATCATAAACAAAATTGAAGCATTGGAAATGTGGGTTCATAGAAGAATGCTAAAGATACCTTGTACAGCAAGGAAAACTAATAAAGAAGTACCAAGCAGCTTCAACAAAGATAGAGAACTGCTAAAGACTGTTAAAAATCCAAAAATGTCTAATCTGGGACATATAGTAAGGGGAAGTCGATATAAAATATTACAACTGATCCGTAAAGGCAAAATAAAGGGCCGTAGAGGTGTAGGAAGGAAACAGATTTCTTGGTTGAGGAATATTTGTGAATGATTCGTGATGATTCTTATATGGCACGCGAAGAAGAAGACAAGGAGGCGTTTCAGGAGGAAGCCGAGGAGTAAAGGTGGTATTCTCAGCAAAATTCAGCTTGTTTGTATGACTTTTAGATGTTCCTTTACCGTGATGTGTGATCGTTTGTACTTTAAAAATTTAAATTCTGCGTGTTTTTAGGCATATTTCAAATGCCTCATATTTGTTGCCAAAACTCAAAATTGAATTTTAATGGTATATGTTTTGAACACTAGCCTCTAAAATAGAAATTTCATTCCCACCGGTCCATTAAAGTCTTATGAAAATCGCAAAAATGGCATAAATCGGTAACGTTTATTTACTTAAGACCTTTACAAAAAATAACTTTAGTTGCGCAAAATACAAAAACTACATAAAAAATCTATACTCTTCACCTTTAAATCGCATTTCGATTTTTGTCTATAGTACACTCTGATCAAAAGATATCAAAATTTTTACGGTCGAGTTGATACAAATTTTATTTAAAATTGATCTCGCGCGCGTAACTGGCATTAAAATCACCAGTTGTTTGAAACGTCGGGTCATTCTAAACTAAAAGTGCTAAAAAACATTTTTGTTCACAATTATCTCAACTCCTTTTTTATTTGAAATAGTTTTTTCTACGGCTTACAGATATTTTTTAGGGGGTACTTTTCTACGGCATTTTAGGGGGAAGCCGGAGGTAAATGTGTTAAACTTGATTAAAAGTGCATTTTTTGAGGTCCCAAACCTGACATTCTCAGCAAAATTCAGTTTGTTCGAATAGTTTTTAGAGCTTAGATCTCTACTAGTAACTTTGGAAAACTGCGAGATACACTTAGGTATCAACATACCAATTATTAACCTCAAAAGAAAAGTATTTGATCAATGCGTATTACCGGTCATGACCTATGGGATGGAAACTATAACTATAATTAAGACTACGGCTTCGAAATTGAGAGTGACACAGAGACGAATGGAATGGTCTATGTTGGAAGTGACGTTGCGGGACCGAATAAGAAATGAAGATCTGCGAAGAAGGATGAGTATTGCTGATGTTGTGGAGTGCATAGCGAACTGAAATGAAACTGTAAAGGCCATGTAGTGAGAATGCGCGACTCACTATGGACGAGTTAATTACAAAAAAAGACCACCTACACGGTGGGCTGACGACATCAGGCTTATCACCAAAAATTCGCAACAAAGAGCACACAATAAGGAATGGAGGACTTTAGGGCAGGCCTATGTCCAACAGTATTTTAAACAGGTGTTTTAAACAGTCTGTTTAAAATACTCACCAAAGTCATAACTACTCGACTAACAAGGAAATTAGACGAATAACAACCATATGAACAGGCAGGTTTTAGAAAAGGCTATTCAACTTCCGATCAACTGTTAACCACAAAAATATTAATAGAAAAATGTAACGAATACAAGTTTTTAGTTTTCCTAGCATTTGTAGACTACGAAAAATCTTTCGATACCATAGAACACACGGCCGTAATAAACGCAATGCAAAATTGTAGAATAGACAGCAGATATATTAACTTAATAAAAGAAACTATGAACCAAGCTACAGCTACATACCACCTAAATGAAAATAAACACACAAACCCTGTACCATTAAACAGGGGAGTCAAACAGGGAGATACTTTATCACCCAAACTGTTCACCTTAGTTTTGGAGGACGTTTTTAAAAATCTATATTGGAAATATAAGGGAATAAACATCAATGGCCGCTACCTCAGTAATCTACGATTTGAAAATGACATAATCCTGATAGCTACTGACCTACAAGAAATGCAAACCATGCTTTTAGAACTACATACCGAATCTTCTAAAATAGGACTGAAAATGAATTTAAACAAAACAAAAGTCATGCACTCCGAAGACACCGTGACAATTATAAACGATAAAGTTATAGAAAAAGTTGAAGAATATATATACTTGGGACAAAAAATAATCCTAAATAGGGAAATTCAGACTGAAGAAATAAAATGGAGAAGAAAGTTAGCTTGGGCAGCATTCGGTAAACTGAACTATATACTCAGAAATCAACAAATTCAATTACATCTTAGATCTAAATTTTTTGATGCATGCATTATTCCGATATTAACTTATGCGGCACAAACATGGACAATCACAAAAAAGAATATGAGTATACTTAGAGTCACTCAACACGCGATGGAAAGGGCAATGATATCACTTAAGGACAAGAAAACAAACACATGGATAAGACAGAAAACCAAAGTCACCGATGTGGTACAAAAATCATTAAAGTTGAAATGGAATACGCTGGACATGTAGCTAGGAGCGATCTAAACAAATGGCACAGATCAATTTTAACCTGGAGACCATACCAACACAAAAGACCCAGAGGCAGACCTCCTATGAGAAGAACAGATGATCTGAAAAGGACTGCCGGGAAAAATTGGCTTCAAGTAGCGTACAATAAAAAACAATGGAAAGGAAGACTTGAAGAGGCTTATGTTCAGATGTGGACGTGAATGGCTAGACGAAGAAGAAGAAGAAGATGTCCAACAGTGGACGTGATGGCTGGATGAAGGCTGGATGATGATGATGATGATGATGATGAAATAAAGAAAAAAAACCAAAAGATATTAAAGAACTCAAACCTTTTAATCTAGTACTAATCGTCAAAATATATTAGATATAATAAACTTATTCTACTGAAAGACACTGAAACGTAGTAAAAGAAAAGGTGAAAAGGAAAAAAATATTACTATTATTCTGAAGCTATTTTTTTGTGACATACAATACAATTTACAATTTTTATTCGGAATAAGCCACAATTTTACTTCACCAGTTTATTTAGTCGTTTTAATTTACACTTTAGAAATTGTTCTTAAGCAAAATTTATAAAAAAAATAAAATAATTTTTTTTGAGAACGATTTCCGAAGTGGAAATTAAAACGTCGAAATAAATATGTTTTAAAGTAAAATTGTGGCTTATTCCCAAAAATATAGTAAATAGTAAAAAAGATTTAAGTACTCAAACTATTTAATATAGTTCAACTCGTTGTCAATAGATATAAGATGTCAATTATTAAAATGAAAAGCACCAAAAGCTTAAAAAAAAACAAAAGACGGCAAAGCCAAAAAGATAAAGAACCCAAATTATTTAATACAATATAAATCGTCGATAATAGAATAAATTATTAATAATTATTATAAAAAAACTATTGTTCTGAAAAGTCTTAATAACCATGAAAAAGCAATAAAAAAAATAAAAGGCCAAAAAGACCAAAAATAATAAAGAATTCAAACTATGTCAGAAAGTTCAAATCATCGATAACAAATTAGAAATAATATGGTTTTTTTAAAGGCGCTAAAAATTATTAACGAACCGTAAAAAAACTATTTAATATAATTGATCCAAGAAGAAGTCTGACAGATAATACAATTCATAGATTTGAAACAGTAAGTATTGAATAAAATGCAGATTATATAATATAAAATAGTCGATTTCCAACATTAATCTAGCTACTAAATTTTTGTCGTATTAAAATTCACCTACCTTTATTTCCTCTACAGCAGCTAGATGTTTCGCTCTCGCTTCTAGGACTTCGGGCGTGTCTTGAATAGGAGCAGGAACCGCTACAACGGGAATTTCAGGTACTGCAGGAGCTACTGGCAAATTAGAAGCCGTCGCTCTAAACCCTTGGTCATCAGCGGCATACTCTACTGATTGAATCTTACCATTGGCATCCACATAGCTGTAACTTCCCAAAACAGATCCATCAAATGCTCTAGCTTCCGATTTAGCACTGAGATGATTAGCATATCCGTAAGTATATTGTCCTAGACTATCTTGAGAGTGGTATTGGCTTGCAATGGGCGCTGATATTTCCGCTAGTGGTACTATGTAAGCAGTAGGAGAACTAGCCGCACAAGCTAGTAGTGCAGAAACGACAATGATGAATTTCATGTTGATTGTGATTAAGTTTTGCGCTGCTGATTTGATCAGTACTCGCTAAACTGTGATATCTGATGGGAAAATTCGATTTTATATTACTTTTAATGCCTTAAGGGCGTTTTTGCTTCAGGTTTATTATTTTGGTATTAAGCTTGTTTTACTGAAAGAGACCATTCGGGAAGTAGTTGACTTTGAAATAAGCTATTTTGATTTTTTGTATCGCTGTATGCAAGGACGTCTGTTTTCTTGTCGAAAACAATAAAAGATGAAATAAATATATACACTGCTCAACAAATTTAGTGATATTTGTAAAATGCTCAAATTACGTATATTTTATTCAATTTTGTTAAAATTATACTTATAAAGAAGTATTAAAATATTTTCCCTTGCTTATTGTAGGGATGTTCCGGTTTTTGTTTGTTTCTTTTTCCAATAATTTTTGTTTCTTTTGTGTATTTGTGATTGTCCTCTCTAGGTTTAAACAAACTTTGTAATATAGTTTCCATATTTTGGTATCAATCTTTACTGTTTTTCTCTTATTTTGTGTATTTGGGTAACATTGGTAAAATAAATATTACGAATGGAGAGGTGAAGGAACCAAATATAGAAAATCACCTAGAGAGCACAGAATACTGAACGAATTCCTAAAGTACGGAGGACCACATCTGAGGAAACATCCATAAACTACGTCGGAGAAAAGAGGAAGGGGGGACTTTGCTTATTAGGATGGTATACGGCAGGAGGGAGGAGGGCATGAGTGTACATACAACGTCGTTTGGTGTTTGTTTATCGATAAATATCAACAAAGTAACATCTCTTAATCTCGGATATAGAATGGGTAACAAAAGAATTGGTATGGTGTGCTACGCCGCAGACGATGCAGCAATTATTGCCGAATCAGAAGATGATCTCCAAAGGCAGCTCTTTCAGTTCTTTCAAACAAGCCGACTATTAAATATGAACATCTCTACCAACAAAACTAAATGTATGACAATAGCAAAAGATCCGCTCAGATGTAAGTTAGTGGTTGAGGACAACCCCATAGAACAGGTGATGCAATTCAGATATCTGGGCATAGATATATTAACCACCCATGACCCAGTAAAGGACCTGAGGAGTCAGATCAACAAAGCATCTGCACTGTCAGGATGTCTGCGGGAGATAGTCTGGTCTAATCCGTATATGCGCACAGATAGTAAAATTAGAATCTATAAGACTTGCATACGACCGATCATGACATATGGCATAGAAATGCGCGAAGATACCAACAAAACGAAACAGATGCTAAGGGTTGCCGTTATGAAAACCCTAAGAACAATAATGGGGAAAACAAGAAGGGACAGAGTGAGAAATACAAACATTAGAGAGCAGTGCAAAATTCAAGATATTGTAAGATGGGGAAGACAGCGCAAGAGGATGTGGTACAACCATGTAAGACGAATGGGTGAGAATAGACTCCCAAAAATTGCCCTAGAAAACAATCCGCCTGGTTCAAGACCCCCCGGAAGACCACCTAAAAGATGGAGGGATAGTTGGCAATCTACCTCCCAAGAAATTAACCAGAGGCAGCTTCAGAATTAAACAGATCGAAAGATCTACAAAAAGTAGAAGAAGAAGAAGGAGCCTCTATAAATATAATTCTCTTCTAGCTTCTACAAGAGGGCGACTCTCTCTCTTTCTCTCTGTGCTTAACTTCACTTATGAAAACGAATATAAAAAGAACGAAAACAGACTAAGGTAACTGGGAGTAATGGCAACCCTAACAGAAGAGTTTAGCCTCCCTAGCCCTCCAGGTTGGGGGTTGGACTAGGAACCGACAACCTCTTCCTGTAAAAAAATATATGTTACGGAACCTCAGGAACTATCAGCTGGACGGAATTCATGACAATGAGTCTGCAAACGAAAAATGGAATTGACAAGCTTCAGGCAAATGGAATTGGCACTCTTGACAAGAGAACCCATTACATACATTATAGCTGCAATAAAAGCCAAAATATGGATAGGGTGGGATTTATTGTAAACCAAAGAACAAAAGCCCTGATTATTAACTTTAAAGCCTAGTCAAAGAATGTGCTATTTGCACTTAAAATTCTTTAATTACAGTTTGATCAGTGCACATGCCTCAACTGATGAAAAAACAGCATATAACCTACACAACATCAATAGCCATAATGGATTACGATTAATAAACTTAACAGCAGCACTAAATATCACAGTCGCTAGTACCTCTTTTGAACCCAAAAACATACACAAGGTAATCTGGACCTCTCCTGATGGAAGAACGAGTCAGATTGATCACACCTTAATAGATTCAAGGCATGGAACAGTCGTAATAAACTCCAAAAGTTATAGAGACCCAATTATAGACTCAGATCATTGCCTAGTAATCTTAACATTGAGGGCTAGAATTTCCAACACCAGTAAATAAAATAAAATGAATAGATAAAATGAAATGTGCAAAAGCTAAGAGATGTGACAATTGCAGAATGATACTCGAAAAACATCACCAACAGGCTAAGGAATAAAAATGTAAATAAAGAAGGCCAGACAGATATAGACTTCTACTGGACCAGAATAAAGAAAGACATTGAAACAGTAGCTAAATATGAAATAGGAACAGAAATTTGTGTTGGTCAAGATCATTGATTTGACGATGAATGCAAGAATGCAACAAAAGAAAAAAATTAAGCCTACAGCAAGGTGCTTATTCGACAATCTAGAACAACTGTAGAGAATTACCAGACAAAGAGAAGAGAAGAGAAGCGAAGAGAAGAGAAGAGAAGAGAAGAGAAGAGAAGAGAAGAGAAGAGAAGAGAAGAGAAGAAAAGAGAAGAGAAGAGAAGAGAAGAGAAGAGAAGAGAAGAGAAGAGAAGAGAAGAGAAGAGAAGAGAAGAGAAGAGAAGAGAAGAGAAGAGAGAGAAGAGAAGAGAAGAGAAGAGAAGAGAAGAGAAGAAAGAGAAGAGAAGAGAAGAGAAGAGAAGAGAAGAGAAGAGAAGAGAAGAGCGAAGAGAAGAGAAGAGAAGAGAAGAGAAGAGAAGAGAAGAGAAGAGAAGAGAAGAGAAGAGAAGAGAAGAGAAGAGAAGAGAAGAGAAGAGAAGAGAAGAGAAGAGAAGAGAAGAGAAGAGAAAAGAAAAGAAAGAGAAGAGAAGAGAAGAGAAGAGAAGAGAAGAGAAGAGAAGAGAAGAGAAGAGAAGAGAAGAGAAGAGAAGAGAAGAGAAGAGAAGAGAAGAGAAGAGAAAGAGAAGAGAAGAGAAGAGAAGAGAAGAGAAGAGAAGAGAAGAGAAGAGAAGAGAAGAGAAGAGAAGAGAAGAGAAGAGAAGAGAAGAGAAGAGAAGAGAAGAGAAGAGAAGAGAAAGAAGAGAAGAGAAGAGAAGAGAAGAGAAGAGAAGAAGAGAAGAGAAGAGAAGAGAATAAACAAAAGAAAAAAAACGAATCAACTTAAATAAGGAACTTAAATATATAGAAAACCTCAACAGAGAAAAAGAACTCACAGCATTCTATAGGAAAGTTAACATCAACAGAAAATAATTCAAGACAACCACAAGACAATGTACAAGTGAGAATTGCGACTTATTAACAACAAAGAAAGATGTATTGAATAGATGGGTGGAATAATATAACCATGCAATTAGTATAGAGGAAGAAGAAAAAATCCTGGAAGACGAAAGAGGCGTGGTAAGGGGAACAGACGAGAGGAAAGAGGAACCATCAATGATTTTTGAAGTTAAAGATGGCGTGAAGGTGACCATGATACCATAATGGCATTACAGCAGCTTATAAAAGAAATATGAACATATAAATCCCTCCCCAATGATTGGAATATTGGAATACTTTGCAGCATACATAAAAAAGAAGATATCTTTGAATGCACTAACCACAGAGGAATTACACTTCTAAATACAACGTATAAAATCTTTTACACATGCAGAACAACATGTATGGCAACATATGCAGAACTGATAGTAGGAAAATACCAGGCTGGTTTCAGAGGTGGTTAATCGACAATTTATCAAATTAAAACAAATTTTAGAAAAAAACATTGGAATATGGCATTGATACTCATCACATATTTATACACTACAAAATTGCCTGCGACGCTGTGAATAGAAGAAAATGTTCAAAGCTATTAAAGAGCTAGAAATACCAATTCAGTTGGTAAATTTAACAAAACTAACTCTTAAAAAAGTTGAATGTAGAGTACGAATTCAGGAGAAACTGTCTGAACCTTTTAAAACAAATAACGGACTACCTCATTACATGGAGACCCTTTCTCCTGCATACTGTTCAATCTAGCTATGTTTCTATCTACTGTTCAAATAACAGCTAACTCCAAGCTGCAAAAAGTGCAGCGGCTAACTTGTCTGGGAATCACAGGGGCAATGTCAACATGCCCCACAGCAGCTCTAGAGGCGATGCTGAACCTTCCTCCCTTGCAGTTCTGCATAAGGAGGGAGGCTGTAACTACCGCCTTAAAACTGCGACAGACACAAATAATGAAACCTGAAGATCTAGTTGGCCACCTGAAAATCTTGGAAGAAATTCCATTGAATTCTAAGGACGTGCCGACAGATGCTATGCCAGTCAAATTAGACTTTGAAACACCCTTTGAAGTGGTCATAAAAAACCACCAAATGGGTGAAGAAATTGAGCCAAAAATGGAAGAAGGTTCACTCGTATGGTATACGGATCTAAGATAGATGAAAGGGCAGGAGTGGGAGTTACTAGGCCCAATTTTAGGCTATCTAAATCTCTTGGAAACGCCCCAACTATCTTCCAGGCAGAAATACATGCTATAGACATAAGTGCCCAAGAATGTCTAAACCGAGACACCTGTAGGGCAAAAGTCTTTATTTTATCAGACAGCCAAGCCGCCATAAAGGCTCTAAAGTCATTTAAATGTGAGTCAAAGTTGGTTTGGGACTGTAAACAATCTCTCAAGAAGCTGGCGGAACGCAACAGTGTAACTGTGATGTGGGTGCCAGGTCACAGGGGAATTGCAGGAAATGAGGAAA